AAAAAAAACTAACAGAATTCACATTTTCCGTGAAAAACAACCAACTATAAAAACTGATATTTATCTTCATTTATTCGTTTATGGATTAACCAATAATTCCTCCCATTAATCAACCGTCCACATTAAAGTCTATTTATTATAAATTGCAACAATTACTGCCCAATTAAGCCTCATTTAATACAGATCTTGCAATTTCCACTGCCAAGCTTGAAAAGCTATTCAAGTTTTTTCATTATTACTACTATTTAAAAATAAAACCGAAATTTCACAAGTGAAGAATAAGAGAGATCAAGAGCTCAGTTGAATCAACATCAGAAAAAAGAGTTGAAAAGAACTAAACACCTTTTTCAGCCGTTTGATTGATGATCCATCAATCTATCAATCAATCAGTCAACAAAGTCAAACCTCCAACAAAATATTTTCAAATTCCAAAACGATGAGCAGAAGAATAAATGGATTCTCAGTTCTCACTCTACTAGGACCTCTTCCACTCTCTGTAGATTTTTAATCTCTCCTTAGAATTTGTGAGGACCGGAATCGGCTAAAGTACGCCGAGGGGGTGGGGATTCGGATTGGGATTGGGATTGGGTTAACTGCAAAAGAACGGTGTCGTTTGCTGCTTTGGTTTGAGTCGTTGTCAAGCGTGCCACCGAAGAGAGGTAATCACGGGACGTATGTCTCCTTTCACCCGATCAGTTACTATTTTTCACTTGCCTTTTTCTGATCCCGGCCTACGTTTGCATCGACGGTTTACTTATTTATTACTATATTTTGAGGGAATTTAATTTATATTTTTATACTAATAATAATAATAATAATAAAACTAAACACAGATCATCGGAGAATCGTGCATTTGCTAATTGAACTACATTTAAATATGTGATTTGTAATCTAAAGTTTAAAAATGCGTAATTATTAATCAGTTATTGAACTTTGTTTTACCATTAATCATATTGTATAGTTTTAAATTTTAGATATTAAATTAAACATCTAATTATACTTGTATTAGTCCAATATCAATTATATAAGGCATGATATTTAAAAAAATCTATGAATTATTCATAAATTCAAATAATAATTTTTTATTTTTTAAATTCAATTAAATTCTCATATATTTTTATTTTGATTAAAATAAATTTTTATTATTAATAATTGATTAACGATTGTTATTAAAATGTCACTTATTAATTATTTTATAATATTGATGTGATATATTAATGTGTTATAATAAATGATGATATAGTATGAGATATGACATGATGACATTAACATCACTCAATACTATTTAAGTATAAAAATGATTTGTAATATTTTGATTAATAATAATTAATTAATTATTAATTATAATGAGTTATTTAATTTAAAATAAAAATATAAAAACTTGATTCAACATAATAAAAAAATAAAGAGTCATTTGAATTTTTTTGAATTGTTCAAGTATTATGCTAATATGCTAATACATAATTAATCTAAACTATTATTTATATTTATATCAAGAAGATATGTACATAAGGACCATTCTTGATAAACAACTTTTATAATAACATCATATAAAAGGTTGGGGTAAATTTTTTTTAAGTGATTTTTATATGAAACTCGAGTGTTAATTAATTACATTAACTTAAATAATTAAAAATAAATTCTTCAATTATGACTTTTTTTTAAACAAAATCCTTACTTGTTATTATATAACAAGTCTTTAAGCTTTTAACTTTTAACTTTAATAACAAATGAATTGTCGTCAAACTTTATTTTAAGTGATATTTTCAATCTACATGATTTAATGATGTGGTATTTTCTCTTTCATATCTTTTTTTAATTTTAGTTAAAACAACAACGTAATTTTAAAAAATTATATAAATCATCTCTTTTCTTATTCTCATCTATACTTTCTCTTGACGAATAGTAATTAATAATCAATTATTATAATTTATCGGATTTTAAATCTCAAGTTATGAATTTTATTATATTTACTTCTAGAGTCATATGTTACATGAATATAAAATAATTTGAACAAAAATGAATGTTTATATTTAATTAATAATATGAATAACTTAAAATGTGATGTACTCCCTTCAAAAAAAGAAGGAGCTTAATTAAAAATTGAAAATAGCGACCACGGAATTACGCGGGAATCGCCTCGCAGTTGAAGCGAAAGAAGCATCTAGAATCCGAAGACCGTCTCTCCTTGGCAAAGGGAAAGGAAAAAGGAGAAGACGAACATGGCAGATAATTCTAGAGCCTTCTTTTTTCTTCACAACAAAATGAGGATTCCTAATCTCAACCGTCCATTCAACAAGCTTTTCTTTAAATTCCCCCTCAAAATCCTGTCCCCCACGCCACTTGATTTATTCTTTTCTTCTCTTGCCGTGTCTCCAGGGCTTTCTGTTATATTCTTTCCTCTCCAGACCAAAACAAACAGAGCCAAAGCAGTTTGATCGAGTAACTAAGAAAGATAGAAAAGGAATGTTTGGAAGAGCACCGAGCAAGAGTGATAATACGAGGTATTATGAGATTCTGGGTGTTTCCAAGAACGCTTCCCAGGATGATTTGAAGAAAGCTTACAAGAAAGCCGCCATTAAAAACCATCCTGACAAAGGCGGTGATCCTGAAAAGGTACGGTAATATTTATTGTTCTTTGTCGAGGATTTTGTCTGGGTTTCTTTTTATTATGGATGGGTGTTAAAGATTTTGTTGGTAATGCTAATTTTGATTTTTCTGTTTTGTTTGGTTGGCAGTTTAAAGTGTTAGCTCATGCTTATGAGGTATTGAGTGATCCTGAGAAACGTGAGATATATGATCAGTATGGTGAGGATGCTCTCAAGGACGGAATGGGCGGCGCTGCTGGGGCTCATGACCAGTTCGATATCTTCTCGTCCTTCTTCGGTGGTAGCCCCTTTGGAGGTAAGTGAATTGGTTTAAGAGAAAGTTATCTTAAGTATTACTTTCAGTCGAATTCTGACATGGTATCATGTTTATAAAAACCTAAGCTTTATTTAATTTAGTGAATCCTGGTTGAAGAGTAAGCTCAGGAATTTGAAATCATTGTTAATGTTGTTGGGATGATTTTTAGGAGCACTACACTTCCATTCAACTTTGGACATGTGACTGATGTTTTTCAGCTACCTGAATAAAATGCTTTTCACTATTAATGGTCTTGTAGATTGAGGAATTTGGAAATTGTTGTTATTTTGTTGATGTCGTTGGACTAATTTTAGGTGAATTAGAGGATGATTGAATCATGGGTTATTGTCGATGAGTAGGAGGTAGCAGTCGTGGAAGAAGACAGAGACGGGGAGAGGATGTGATTCATAATCTGAAGGTTTCTCTAGAGGACCTTTACCTTGGGACATCAAAGAAGCTTTCTCTTTCCCGCAATATCTTATGCTCGAAGTGCAATGGGTAAGCTTTTTAGCTGTCATTTAGTAATATCTTCATCATTTTCCTGTGTCTAAACTTTTGGTAGTATTTGCTTACATGGAATGTATAATTTATAACAGCAAAGGGTCGAAATCAGGTGCTTCAATGCAGTGCCCTGGTTGCCAGGGTTCTGGTATGAAGGTCTCAATCAGGCACCTTGGTCCTTCCATGATTCAGCAAATGCAACATCCCTGCAATGAATGCAAGGGTACTGGTGAGACAATCAATGACAAGGACCGCTGTCCTCAGTGCAACGGCGAGAAGGTTGTTCAGAAGAAGAAGGTGCTGGAAGTCATTGTAGAGAAGGGTATGCAGCATGGACAGAAGATTACATTCCCAGGCGAAGCAGATGAAGCGGTATGTTTTGATTTTAATAGTAATGCAGTTTAGTATATGCACTTGGTTTGACAGTAGCATGGAGCCCAATTGTTTTGTTTATGGTGTTTTTTGCAGCCTGATACCATTACTGGGGACATAGTCTTTGTCCTTCAGCAGAAGGAACATCCAAAATTCAAGAGAAAGGAAGAAGACCTGTTTGTGGAACATACCTTGTCTCTGACTGAGGCTTTGTGTGGCTTCCAATTTGTACTTACCCATCTAGACGGCCGACAACTTTTAATCAAGTCAAACCCTGGGGAGATAGTGAAGCCTAGTAAGTATCTAGGAATATTTACACCCGTCTCTTGAGGCTTTCTTCCATTGCTTGCTTGGTTTATTGGCTTTTTAACTTTTCTTTCCAGATTCCTTCAAGGCAATCAATGATGAGGGGATGCCCCTGTACCAGAGGCCATTCATGAAGGGCAAATTGTTCATTCACTTCACTGTTGACTTTCCTGATTCTCTGAGCCCTGATCAGGTTAAAGCACTTGAGGCTATCCTGCCGCGAAAGCCAACCTCTCAGTTGACTGATATGGAGCTAGATGAGTGTGAGGAGACCACGCTACATGATGTGAATATTGAAGAGGAGATGAGGAGGAAGCATCAGGCAGCACAGGAAGCTCTTGATGAAGAGGAGTTGCATGGTGGTGCCCAGAGGGTGCAATGCACACAGCAGTGATGATGAAGAAAACAATCAGAAGCTTATCTGATAGTATTCATATACTGAGGAATACGGAAGCTGACCTTTGTAGTAGTTGAAGTGGGAGTTTATGGTTTGTTGCGAGACATGTCTTGCATGGGTGGTCAGTGAGTGGTTGTGTCCTTGTTTCCAGACATGAGCAGAAGATATAGGATACTCTATGAATCTTGTATTTGTGATCTTTTCTTGGCAAAGATTGCCATTCTCATATAATGTTTCTTGCTGGCAAATTGGAAAATATGGAAAATATGTTCGCCGTTGATCAACTGTTATACAATTTTAGATATGAAAGATTCTTTGGTGCCTGCTGCTAGAGAACCATAATAACATCATTTGGTTACTTCCTTGCAAAAAAGAAACATCATTTGGTTACTTCCTTTCAAAAAAGAAACATCATTTGGTTACTGGGTGCCTGCTGCTAGAGAACCATAATAACATTATTTGGTTACTTGGTGCCATAATAACATCATCTGGTTATTCAAGGTTTATAGACTCCAACTCATGTTCCACCCCCTAAATGGTCCTTCAAATTGGCTTCTTAATGATGGATTATAATAATCATATCACTTGATTTTCAGTGGCAATTAACAACAATAATGGATTGACTCAGTTCTCCAGCATATATTGAATTATAATTTATAGTGCTTTTGCTGTTTAGGCAAGGAGTAGGCAGCTTGCTAACATTAATATGTTCAAACAGGAGTGGGTGCCTCAAGATACAGAAGGAGTGTCACTGCGTATGTTTGCTAGGCTGCCTAGTTCAATAACTGATCCATGGAAATTAGTTTGACTATGTTTAGCTGTCTCAATAGACATGATAGAAAGGATGTTGCATCTCTCTTCCTGATTGCTCAGGAGAGATGAAAATCTGGTGAAAACTCCATGAAAGAATAAACTAAACTTCCTATAAATATGATTTTTTTTTTTTTGTATAAAAGAAACCTCATATTACAAACGCTAGTGAGGAATGTCCACCTTTTTCTGGAGATAACGAAATACCTGTGGAACGGGAAACTTTGGGTTATTCTTAGATTTTATACATAATCTTGCTACAGATAGAAGCTTCTTAAGTTCCCTGGAATCATAATTGTTCCCTAGGTCTGGATCTATCATCATATGGATTGAACTGCTAAGGCGAGATCCCTGGACCCATTGGATTAAATCGGTGCCTCCTTGCTCTGATGACTGGCCAGTTATTAGCTCCAATATCAGCACTCCAAGCTGAAAAATTATGTTGCCACATTCCTGACCGAGACATTCTGCAAGGAGAGGAGAGAATAGATGGATAAAGAATTCATCGGAGAGGAAAGCGAGTCTTGCAAACATTTGTAAGGATATTGGTAAAAGAATCACCTTCTGAACAAGACGGATGAGGCATTTCGACATAAGTTCCAACAGAACTTAGAAGGCCAACATCAGACAGCTGTATTAAAGAACGAATAATTATTATTTCTATGGCGATAAAGTTTTATAGTGCCATCTAGCTTCTTAAGATGCCAGTACTTTGAATATGATTCATATGATCCAAATGCTAACACAAACAGGGAAGGAACAAAAGGAATAGACTTTTAACCTTAGCAGTAAAGTTTTCATCTAACATGATATTACTTGCGCTGATGGAGACATGATAAACCGGTGGGTTACTGAAAAGAAGTAAGTATTCCTGCCAGCACATAGTCAACAAGATGATTTAGTTCATTATGTTACACAGCTATCAAACCAATGTGCAGATATTGAATACTAGCTAGGCAGAATTTAATTGAATCCTTGTCTAATGATGAATTAAGAAAAAGAGGGTAACAGGCAGGTAAAAACATCAGAAGGCATTAATTAGCAGTGGTTCTAAAAATTGATGCAATAGATCATGTGGGGTAAATGAGTAACAAGCAATTGAGTCTCAGAGCCACGTAAGAGAGATAGCTGCTTTCAAGAACTGGCCTTTCTGAAGAGGGAAGCTTAGCGCCTACCACATTCCTCAAAGGTTTGGGATGCTTCTTCAGAAAGTGTGGAATCATGTAGCACAGTCTAGAGACTTTGGGACTTAAAGCAGATGAATCTGTGACTTACCAATGCTGCTGCCACACCAACAGCTATTTGTAGCCTTGCTTTCCAATTCAAAGGAGTCCTTAGAGGATCTGTCAAGAGCCAGTTGCTTAAAACAAAAGAAAATGTTTGCAATTACACATAAATTATGCTTAATAGATTTACCATTAAAATGCTCCTTCAAGCTTCCATTTTCAATATTGTCAAACACTAATAACCTGCAAAGATACATCAAAGATTATGGTGAGTTTTTATGCATAGAATATCTATCACAGTGCCTTTTTTAATAGAAGCTATGCATAAACACATGCACATATTTGAGCAAAGAGAATTTTGCAGAGAAAAACAGATGGTTTTACACTTCATTCATTTGATGTGTCAACCGCTGCATCATACGATAATCTTTAGTGTGAAGCTCTTATATCATCAAATTCACCTTCTCAAAATGGCAGCTTCATTTTTTTCTAAATCAAGTCTCAATATTTTTATCTAAAAGCAAGCAAATCTGAAAATGGAATCAAAATGAAAGATAAGACATCAACCTCTTATGCCCTGTGGAAAATCCTCTGAGTGCAAGAAGATGGCGGTGATGCAATCGCCCCAAGAATTGCACTTCTCTATAGAAGTTGTCTATTCCTTCATCAAAAGCTCTTGCTTCTTTTACCAAAGCAACTTCACCACCTTGAAATTTGGCCTTATAAGCAGCCCCATGGGAATTGCTATATATTATCCTGTGAAAGCCATCAGTTGCCCTCCTTACATCTTTGTATGAAAACTTCTTCATGAACGAAATTGGGCCTGAAAATAAAAAAGGAAAGGAGATATAAACTCATCATCATAATTGATATCCAATATATCAAAAACAAAGTTAATTCTCCAAATACTATTCTTTTTAAACCAAAAAACACTGCCAATTTTAAAAATGTACCGATCGTATTTGCTACCTTTAACACGACTCAGTATAGTGAGTCATATCTATAAATGAGATGATAAAACTGAGTGTAAGATACTTGTCGTACAATGATTTGACCTCACCTACATGACAGGTTGAACTATAATCCTCAGATGTTTACACTTTACAGGTATTACATTCAATGTTCACCAAGAGGTCACTTATATCAGTTCACAGCTCAGTATCTTGTAAAATTAAAGAACTGAGAACTACGGAGAAGTTGATATTAGTAGCTGATATAGTAGTCATCATCAATTGACTTGGATAACATGTGTTCAGAAATAAGACAAAAGATAGGTTTACTGTCAAAATAAGAGGAAATACACAATGAAGAATCACAAAGAAAGAAAATCCAATATCCAGTGGCCTCAGCTGCAATAGATTTGAATTTGAATACTGCAGGGTCATTTTGTCCAAAGACATTGAAATAATGATATCATTTGTCATTAGGTAAAAACATTTTCACATTCACATAGGAAGATGATTTCATTGCAACTTGGTATGTGTTAGTCTGCTAAAGAAAAACTTCGACAAATTGACCGCCAACTGAAATGCGGATAGACGTTTTCTCGGTCACAATCATGGTTGTTACGGTAAGAACAGCCTAAAGTGGTTTCATGAAATGAACCACTACAGGGTTGAGTAATTAAGAGATCTACTCATGTGGCTTATACTTTCTAATCATACACTAAAATGACAATATAAAATTAGATAGTGATATAACCACAGAACTAATAGGGAACTCATAAGTTATGTTAGGAGTACAACTTGAATCTTGCTTTGAAAATTAAAAAAAAAAAGGAAATTGAGAACAAAAACTACAGTTGTTTTGTACCACTGAGAGAAATCGTATTCCCTTTAAAACTGGAATATGGAAGTGTAATTTAGGCAACAAGAAGCAAAGCACAATTGTATTACAGGACAATGTCTGTCATTATCTTAGAGAGATAAAATTTCCATTTAAAAAGAGGTTGAAGATTGAAAAAGGAAGGGATATTACCCATAATTCTTCCATCTAAATACAAAAGGAAAAGAGAATGCCGCTGCTTTTTTTAGTATCATTATCTTAAATCTTAATTCTTATGCTGTTCCTTTCCCTGACTAATCACACAACAAATGGGACAACATATGATCAAGATTTATTACATATACACAGACACAAAGATATGCTGACAAATGCATACACAGAGGGAAGACAGAGATATATGTGTGTATACTTACATTAAACCGTAATATTAGAAACCAATTGATTTACCATCTCAAGTATCATTGTATAACAACCAATACAAACCATTTTCATTCTAAACTTACAACGCTGAAACTGATCAACAACATATATTAGGGAAGAATCGTCAAAGTTGACAATCAAATTCTTCAAGATTTCCCTTTTTTCCAACATCAAGCTCATCACAGTCCTTCAAACCATCAAACCAAAAGAACTTTCAAAATGAACTTTGCACTACAAATAAACAAACCCATCTTTGATTCAGCGAATTCAAGCCAAAATTCACCAGTTTAAGACATTTTTTGCTAGGATCACGATTCATGAACAATGACAAAAAACCCCAATTACCATTAGTAAAATCCAATCTCAAAAAGAACAACTTTCCCAGAAAACAAAGCATGACAGTTAACAAAGTTAATCTAAAAAAAATACCAGTCTTAACAGACAACACAAAGAATTGCAGTCCAACAGTTTTTTTTTTTCAGTTAACAATTAAAGAAAAAGAGAATACCAGAACGAGATCGGTGAAGCCATGCAAGAAGACGAAACCTGAGTTTCCGGATCATAGGATCCATTCCTTTCGGAAACAGTACTTTGTTTTGCTCTCTTCAGTTAACTTGTATGACTCTGATGCTGCAGCAGTCCAACAGTTATTACTAATTTCCATTTCTTTTGTTTTTGTGCTCTTTATAACGGCTTTGCTTTGCAAATGCTTTTACTTTCTGCTTGCCTGGAAAGCGAGAGAGAGATATGATGATTTGGTCAAGTGAAATGCTGCAGTAAAATGGCAGTTAAAAATTAAGGGTGATTTCTAAAAACAGTAAATAAACTGTCAAAACTGTTCCCAGTGCTTCACTAGTTATCAGTTCCAGTAGTGTGCCAAAATTTGTTAAAGAGTTGGGTTAGTTTCTTTAATAGTTTTAAAAGCCAATGACAGCAAAATGCTTCTATTTGCTTTGTTTGCTTTCGTCTTTTAATATTGTTTGTTGTGAACAATGATTTGTAGAGTTCATCCAAAATTTGACAGATCATAAAGCTGGTAGGCATTTCATCTAGAAGTTTTGGGGATTCGGATTATGGGAGGGATTAATATAAGTTTTCAAAGCATAAAAAGGATTGGACCACCCCTATATTTGCTAATTTTGGCCCTAGACGTCTGTAAATTCCAAGTCATTATATTTTGTCCATCATAATAAGGCACATGAATGAGAATGGTAAGGGTGCCATGCACAGCTCTTTTAATTGAAGGGTTGCAATTATTCTATTGAGGAGCATGGTTTTCTTTTTTCTTGCATTGCAATTTGTAGAATTGAAGGGTGCCATGACTTTTAATGGAATAATAATAATGGAACAACAGCATAGCTTAGCATCAGCATCACATGCTTACAAGTAGCATTACTTGCCTTTATCCCGACCACAGTCATCCACTTTTAGATATTGTAGCTTGACTCTTGTGGCTATTCAATTCAACTATTTAATCAGCACTCCATTTCATAAAGTAACGAATTCTCCAACTGTGTTATTTTAGGAAAAAGAAAAAGTCCAAAGCAGGATGAGCACTGATTTTTGTGGATGGGAATCCTTTGGATGCTGTTTTGATATAAAGCTTGGGGTCATTTTACTTGTCCCGTGAGCAATGTAAATTCCCCATATAAGTTTAGCAAGAAAGAATGAGGGAGAAAAGAATGAAGAAGAAGAAAAAGAGAACAGCAAAAAGGGGGCCGCCTTATGACAACTTTATACTAAGTTCACTCTGGGGGGACCAGGCAATGCATGGATTAGACTTATGAGTGTGGAAGTTTCTTTAGCTTTGGGTGATAACTAAGATAATGACAGTCTATTTGCCTTTGGTTCTTTTGTTTTTGTGGATTCCTCGTTTTTTATGTCAATTTTCTCGTGAATTCATCACAGAAAGGCAAAACAGTAGCAACCGAATGCAGTGAAGTATCGTAAGGCGACACATATGCTACACCAGTTCTTCAAACATTGACACATCCGTCACTTTCTTGAAACTTGAAAACCTTGAAATTGCGCTCTTCATTGTTTAATGTTTTCCATCTTAAAACAATCTTCTTTTGCCATCTTACTTTTCATTTTCTCTGCCTTTGCAACTGGAACCTAGACAATCCATGGAGCTAGTAGCACAATTCAAGCTTACCATTGTGCTTTTCTTCACTATCTTTTCGCTCTTAGCTTACAATCAGGCTCAAAATGTAACGTACTGTGGTATGTCTATATTTTTTTTCCAGTGCTTTCATCAGCATTATAATTTTGTAACTCTACTTATTTCCCCCCTTTCAGTTTTCCTCATTGAAATTTTAATGCAGATGGCTCAAGGCATTACGCTGTTAATGTCCAAAAATTTGAGGTATCCCCTGATCCAATGTTGGTAGGCAGGCCAGCTACCTTCACCATCTCAGCTTCTACAAGTAATAATTTTCTGCTTTGGACTCCCTATTTTCCCATTCTTAACTGTATAATGCTGTCTATCAGAACACTAATGAAAAGCTCCACCTCCTTTCCTCTTATTGGTACATTCTATGGTTGATAGTTGATTCAGATTTTACAATCCCGTTCACTAGGTACACTAGGTTGGACAAGGCTTCAGTTTATTTTAAGAAGTAGAAATCTAGACTTCAAACATCTTCTCTTTCTCTGTCCTTCACCCTATATTTTTACATTCTCTACCACTTTTGTCCTTCAGGTGCTTATTTTCTGCAGCTTTAGAATGTTGATGACTATAGGAGAAACATTGAATTGTGTATAATTTCTTTTATTATTTGGCATTCTATTACTAAAGTTGGCACACATCTTTCATTCAGGTCAACCAATCTCTGACGGCAGAGTAGTGATCGATGTCTCTTTCTTGGGATTGCATGTCCATACAGAAACTCGTAGTCTCTGTGAGGAAGCATCCTGCCCTATTGCTGCAGGCAACTTTAAGCTCTCGCACTCCCAAACTCTACCTGTCTTCACTCCACCAGTAAGTCTTTATCTCCCAGATGAATAATTTTCAGTGGTAAGTCTTAATGGATGAAGAAAGCGAAAGCTTGTGTTCACTAGTTTGTGTTACGAATTTATACTGAAAAGACCAGGATTTGCAACAAATTATTCATCTTTCCTAAGCCTTAGTCATCAAGATTAGCAAAAGTTAGGAGAGCTCAGCACAGTTTAGTCACCCAGTTCTAATGCTTCATAAAAGCTCTTTTAATAACAAAATGAAAGATGTGAAACATCCGTTTCTCAAGAGAGCAAGTAATCATAACAAACTCACTTAATTCAAATTCATAAACAAGGCAAAAAGAAAGTAAAAGCTTTCATACTTTGCCTCTCTCAGCTCCCATGTCATCAGAACCTCCAAAGCTCAATATATCAAACTATTTCCTTATAAACTATGAATGCCAAGGCTTATTTAGCTGCAAATGCTGCATTATTGTTGCAGGGATCTTACGCTCTTCAGATGATATTGAATGATCAAAACAATTTGGAATTGACATGCATTGGTATAAACTTCACGATTGGAACTGCTGCTTTGGCGTCTGATATATAGTTGAGTTTGGACTTTGGAGTATCCTTGAGTACTTCAACTCTCCGCCTCTCTATGTTCCAGTGGCCTCCTTAAAAGATCTCGGAGCATTGTTTTATTTCAGTGAGATTAGCTCTCCAGTTGTGCAAGCATTTTATACATATGCAGCCTGATAGCTTAACTAGAGCAGTTTAATTATCTGAATAAAATGGCTTTTGGTTTTTGAGGGCATGCCTGCCTTTTGTTGTTTGCAACCTCAGCACCTTCCCTGAAAGGCTTGTGGCAGGAAAACAGAGGATAAATCAGAAGCTCATGACCGGATATTGCTGAAAGCTGATGAGTCACTCCTGAGAGAAAGCTTGTCTTAAACTCTCCTCATTGATCCAACTGAGCCATTCCACCAATCTTTCTGCTGGCTCTTCTTTTAAAACAGTACTGTCCCAGCTGCATAACACAATTCAAGTCCCTAATCACACCCTAGATAAAACCAAAATTTATGATTCTTTTTCTCAGCCTCAAAACAACAGACCAAAATCTTTATGCAAAGATAACTACCATAGATGAATGAATGTTACAGTTTAACAGTTTGTTCATTTTAATCAAACTTCACTTTACTTTTTCATTCTTCATTTTTGTGGGATTTTAATATTTTCTTCAAAAGCAATAACAAAAAAAGACAAATAATGGCAAAAACCACACAATACCAATACAGAAGAAAGAAAAATAAAAAATTCCATTGAGGCTATTGAAGAGATCCTGAGTTGTGTGGAGCTGAGGGTGACTATCATTCAAGTGTTGGATAAGATTTTTTTTTTTTATAATATTGTAATAAAATTTATATAATTTATAATTAAATGAGATATTCTCCGATGCATGCATGCCCGGAGGGAAAGACAAGTAAAGGACATCCTTAGTTGTGGGACCAAGTGACAATTAAGCTGACAACGACAAATATTGAACGTTTTGATCATGTTCTGGGTTTTGGTGTTTTTCTATGTTTAAATAAATAGTGTTGAAATTCAATGGTCATAATAATGACATAAAAGACAAAACAGGCTTTGATCATTTCCTCTGTATATAATATACAGAGCAGTTTTTATCGGATAATTTGGCAATTGGCATCCTCAGTCTAGAGAAAGAAAACCCCTTTGAGCACGCCTGCCATGGACACAGTAGCAGCTCGGTTCAAGCTCATTCTTTTGCCCCTTTTGGCTATCGCTTTGCTTTTCTTACCTTTTCTCCAGGCCACTGATTTCAGTTACTGCGGTTAGTTTTCCTCCTTCTTTCTGCTAGATTATTGTTGGGTTCTTTTCCTTTTTCCTGAAATTTCGTAGTCTAAAGTGAACTGATATGTGTTAGCCCATAGATTCTTGCTTTTTTTTTTTTTGTTTCTTTTGGTTATTCTGTCCTCTCTTTTCTGTGTTCAATTGCTCAGTTTTTCTTCTTATATATGTCTGAGTTCCTGGATTGAAATCAATGCAGGTGATGAAACTGGTTTCGTTGTAAAAGTTGAGGGAGTCGATATATCACCTGATCCTGTGGTTAAAGGCAAGCCAGCCACCTTCACGATCTCAGCATCTACCGGTAACTATCCCGTTCTTGCAATTTCCGAATCGTCTTTACCTTGAATTTGATATTTTAGGATGTCTCTAGTACACAGGATGATAGATTAAGATAAGAAAGTCTTATCAAACTTTGTTGTGGGTAAGATTAAAAGTAGGATGGGATAATTTTTATCTCATGTCATTTTTGGTAGTAGATAAAAACACAAAAAATAAGCCTTTGATAAGGTGGAGTGTAAATGGGGGAAAAAGGATAGGACTTCACTTAGACTCAATTAATAAGAAATTCTTAAATTTCTTCATATTTGACTGAAGACTCTATTCAATTCAGTTGAGCTTTAGATGCTTAAGTTTGAAGGTAAAGCATCTTGTGGAGATATGGGAATAGCTGGCTGCAAGTGTTGATCTAATCTAGGTTTTTTGATGCATCAAGCCATGCATCGGAGATTTCTAAAAGGTGATTTTTGAGTCTAAGGGATAAGGATTGTAAGTTTATGTAATAAATATTTGTACTTAACTTTTTTGGATATCAGGTCTCTGGGAACTAGCTGCTTGTTTAAAACTCTATAAATAAGCTTGTAATTTCTTTCAATTAACATATATAAAAAAGGTTTGTTAGAATTTCAGCATTTACTATGCCTGGTTTTGGATGGTGTGGAACAATCCTAAACCTTGGTGTAAAGTCTTTGGAATATAAATATGAACCCTTAAAAGGAATCTAGGTTTGAAGCCTAGATCTCATCTTGCTTATTTCCAGTTTTCATCTAAGTTAAGAATCAACCTTCAATCCTTCCTACAAACTGGTACTGACTTCACAGTCAAACTCAACCCTAGAAACCTAAAATAATGTTCTTAGTACCATTCATAGAATCAGCACGACCCTAAAACCAGATTATAAAAGCTTTTGAAATGCTCATCCAGTTTTAATTAAATACAATCCCTATTATGAAAGTTAATTATTCCTAGTTAGTAGTTTTCCTTCTGTTTTAGAATACTCTACATCAGTATCAAATTTCTCTGGTAAACACATTTCAATCTTGGTGGATTATACTCTTGTATATAAAGTTAATTATTGCTGGAATCGTGCTTGTGTTTTGATGACAAAGCCACTTCTCAAAATCTTTGTAGCGTTTAAAGAAAAATTTTAACTTTGCATATAATAGCTTAAACAGAAACTCTTGGAACGCAGATACTTCCTTGGTCCATTTTGCCAATATTTTGTGTGGTACATATTGGTATATATATCTGAAGGTTGTTTTTTTTTTTTAAGTACATGATTCATGGATATAGTCTTTTTTCGCATTTCATTGGTGCCTACATTTTGCAGGTCAAGCTATCTCTGGAGGCCAAGCGGTGATTGATGTTTCCTACTTTGGGATACATATCCATCAAGAAACTCATCAACTTTGTGAGGAAACATCCTGCCCTGTTCCTGTTGGACAATTTGTACTCTCTCACAATCAAGTTTTACCTGGATTCACTCCACCTGTAAGTTTCACTTTACTGAGAAACTTTTTATTTTTTGAAACTTTTTTCAGGATTATACCACTTGTGATGTGCCCTTATAAATTGATTTGAACATTGAGGCAGTCAACGAGCCTATTCTCTGATATTTTCAGTTAAAGAAAGCACTGCTTGTTTCCCATGTTTCATGATTGATCTAGTATCTTACATGTCTAAATTATCACTTCAATCTTTATGCTATGGTTTTTTTTTCAGTTTCTTTTTTCCTCTTGTTTTCAAACTTTCATACTGCTTTTGGTTTGATGAAATGGCTAAAGAAAATAAAGAAAATGATGAAGAAAGCATTTGTTACTTTGGTTCTTACTGGATGTTTACAACAGAAGTAGAAAGCACAATGTGCAAAGTTATATTTATTGTGGACGTATTATCCTCAAGTCTCACGCAGGCACCAAAAAAATCTCATAAACACCTTCCTTTGACCTATGTGTGACATCCTTTGCTAATTCCAAACTATTTAAACATTATCCTAAATTTGGCAGCAGCTTTCTTGAGTTCTATTTCTATGGGCCATATCTAACTAGAAACATTCATCAATAATGTGTTGCGCTTACTTCCTTGCACCAGATTTTCTTTTGTCCTTCATTAAGAAATAGAAAAACGTGTTTCTATATTAGCTTATCTTACCTGGCTTCATTTTGCCCTTCTTATTTGTATTTATCCTTGCCTGTTTGATATGTACTTCTGTGGCCAATGATTGGTTTAGAGACCTTTGATCAGTGATATCCTGTTTCCTTAGGTCTCTCTTATCTGTTGGGCAGGGTTCCTTCCAGGAAAGCAAGAAACTGATAGTTTAGGAGTTGTTTGCCACTTTACCTTTTAAGATCCTTTTGCTGATATGTTAAATTGAGCTGCACTGTATTTCAAAACGTTAGCGTGGGATGGAAAAGCCAAACCTCAGCAATGCCTGATGTGCTTTCAATTTTCAGTTTATCCTTCATAATAAGATGTTTACTGTTACTTTCACCTCATGCTTGGTTATCTGTGGCTAAGTGTCTGATTGAGAAAGTGTAATAATTGTGATATATGTATTCCAACCTTTAGCAGATCTTTATGAATTAATTTAAATAAGAAACAAAATAAATGTAACGAGTTGGATTAAAAGAAAAAATAAGTCTAGGTGGAAGAATCTCTTAAAGAAAAAATAATGAGAAGCTTGCACTTTTGACTAGCAAAGCATGAGTTTTACTTCTCTAAAGACTGCAGCTTAAGGAGTTGATCTGATACACACTATATTTCTTAAAATTTTCACAAAAAAGTTCTCTAATGTTATGTTTCACTTTTTAAGTACCAATGTAATGGATATTTCAAGGGATTTTAGTAATCACCTACTGGCAACCCTTGTAAATATTCATTTCTCTTTAGGCAATAGAACTCAAATGGTGTTGTTCAAATCAAGGACCTTGTCTTGCTTGCACCCGACTCAAATGGTGTTGTTCACTGCACTCATGAATAGACTGTTTCAGTTTTCCAGTGTTTCATTCTCATGGATTTTTTCTTTATCAGCTTTTCCTTGTCATCCCATATCTTCTATCTTGTCTTTGTCTGGCTTGTTTAGCTTTCATCTTTTGATGGAGCCTTTTTTTTTTTTTGTGGCTTCTTCTTTACAACTTGGTCTGAACGGGGATTGTTGTTAAAATTTGGAATTTGCTCATTTTGATGATTTCTTTTGCTGTCCTCATAGCTTTCCTTATGCCTTGAAGTGTTATGTAAAGATACTCCATTTGGTTGCATAATAATATATCGAAACCAATCTGGTTATTAACTGTTAATAGAGACCAGAATCCAGATTTATCCTTTCTTCTTAGGACTCTGGTACAAACTCCATCTAGCTGCCTTAATTTGTGGTTTGATCCCTAAAGAACTAGGGTGGATGCATGATGGAAGTGATATCAGATGCACTGGTTTCAAACTGTAGAACCCCTAACTTGATTTTTTGGGCTTCATTCACTATCCAATTACATGACAGTTGACATTGCTGATCTTTTCTGTGTGGCATTTGCAGGGTTCTTACACACTTATGATGAAATTGACTAGTGAGGACAATCTGCTGTTAACTTGCATTTGCTTCAAATTCAAAATCAGTTTAAGTGCTTCTGGATCTTTGGTCTCTGATAGCTGAGTGGCAAAGTAAATGGTCTAAATAACTCGTGGCATGCATTTGTATTGGGGTCTTTTCTTATTTCATACAGAAAGATCTAAAGTTCTACAATCGTTGTGCTTTTATTCTACTGGGTTATCACTCATAAAGGTCATTCCTGCCTTTATCGTGTCACATTCCAACTGTGTTTATCACTCAGATATCCAATTGCTGTAAGATATTCCACATGACAACTCTGTTTACATGCAAGTCACTCAAATCTGTGGAAATATTGTCAGTTAACGATGTTAGCTACCATCCTTTAATGAACCATCATTTCACAATCAGTTTATATCCTTGTACTTGTAGCACTCCACTGTTGAACTTTAGATTTATTGAGAAAACATGCCATTGTGAGTGTTTGGACCTTGATTCGGACTAAAATGTCCGGCCTAATTGGCAGTATTCTACATAAATTTGTTGTGCTGCGAGTACAAGGATATAAGCATATCATAAGATCACACTTTGGTGCTTAAATTATGATGTTACTAACTTTGCAGTAGCAATGTAATTCTCAATGACACATCTTAACAAAAAAGATGGGCAAAAATTACCATGATACCAAGTTAGTGCTATTCAAAAAATTAGAAAAATTTCATCCTTGAGCCCATTCGAAGCCTCCTTTCTACCATTATCATCATCATTTCACCAAGGCCAACTTCTACCTCAGAACCCATCACCTGACAACCCAATTTAAATGGAGGTTCTGCCTCGGCTGTTTCTTAGTCTTTCCCTTATTTTCCACAAGCCTTGCTGTTAACGATGGAGGTGCTACCTTCAAATGGGAAGTCGTGTTGTTAGCAGCTTCCTGCTTCTCATGTTTCTCATTATTTATCTCATCAAGTTTAGCCTCAGCTTTTCCTTTCTAAAGAGGTTTATACTCTCATGTTAATTTCTATAATGTTTGGCTTTTAATATATGCTTCAGTGAAATGTAGATCCTCTCATTCCTCCCGGAGTAAACTGTGTGAAGAGGGGACAAAAAAGGGTCTAGGAAAACATAGACAACATTTCAAGTCCTTAATGAATTAAAATTAACTTTAAATTCACACAAAAGCAAAGGAATTTTTGCAACTATTTTCCCATCTAAATTTCTCAATTTCTTGTTGTTTTCTGCTTTCATTTGTCACTAACATTTTACCTGTCAGCCTTTCTTTTACATATATAATTAATTACCAAATTAACGATTATATTTCTCATCCCAAGACTCAAATTCAAGGTTCTTCTGCAATTTTACTAAGAAAAAGGAATCATCTACCTAAAAGTAGATAAAATATAAAAAAATACTATTTCTAGGAGAAGAATCTGAACAATAACAGTAGTAATGATGGGTTCTATGCACCTGTTTGTTCCTTTTTGATTTTCAATCATCTAAGTTGTTTCATGTGGATAAAATTTAAATATTTTGGAGGCCACTGCATTGAAAACTAAGGTAAGGCCTGGAGCGGTGGGTTGCACCCAATGTATCTTACTTTCACTTTTCTCTTAGCTTGTCAGATTGAACTCCTTTGAAGAAGGGTATGGTATCTGACAGGGTGAAAATGCAAGACATGCTTAAAATAATCAACCATTGGAGACGAATAATTCTTGATGGATAGAAGAAAGAATGTTTGCTTCTGTATGTCTTCGCGTTTCTTTGGTTGTACTCTGTTTGTTTTGTGTTGGCCCTGGAATTTCTTGGTTCTGTTACCCAAAGAAAAATCAAAT